CTTTGGCTTTTGGCTTTAGTTTTAACCAAATACAATACTAACCAACTTTTAACAAGCTGATACTTGTATAATCTGGTTCTATATTTCAGTAGATAAATATGAATCACATACAAAAATATTGTGTCATTTAGAAGATTGATGTTTCCCAACCGTACATGTGGTATCACTAATATTGATATGATTTATCAATTGTTCAGATGTCCATATAACATTAGTCACATTTTATCAAAGCAATTGGTGATTTTGCTGAATTTCCACTCATGGACATGTTAGAATACTTATCTGTCTATCTCTGATGTGATTTTCAATCGCTTATCGATATAAGAAGATCTGTCTGATCTGTTTTCAGCTTACCTAGATAGGTTTTCAAAACCAAACCAAGTAAATGTATAATGCTGCTAGATATGCTGCTAGACCTATTCTAGGAGCCGATTCCGAGTCGCGGAGAACCTAACTGATTACCGGGGCTCCGGCTCGAAGGGCAGGAGGAGTAGGAACGGGGTGGTTTTTAGTCAGTAAGAGTCTGACACTCCCTCCCGCCTCACACAGGCGGAAGAAGTCATTCGATGATTTTCCCCCCTTAAAAAAAACCTATTCTAGGAGCTTAGCTTTTCTAGAATGACTACGGTGAGTAGAATTTTTAGCACACTATAACTACATCGGTGGTAACCTACCCCTAACAAGGATTTTAATATCAACAAATTATGCACTTATTTGCATTGTATAAGTTTTTAAATTACTTAAACTTACAGCACTTGCTGTCATGTTATCGAATTATATTTCCAACATTTTACCTAAAGAATTAAACTACCGACCGATAAAACCCGGAACGCAATATCCGGTTGCCTCACTGCAACACCGTTTTACGTAAAAAATATGCTCAATTTTTGTACTTCACGTACTATATAAATTACTACGTACGGTAAAAATGTATTCCATATAATTAAGTCTAGTCACATTTAGGAAAATCATCTATCTAGGTAATAGAAGTGACTGCATTTACGTATTGTTACGATAGCAGTAGATAGCATAGGTTTTTTTCTTAAGCATTGTGCTATGTACTAATAATCCAGCGAACAAAATCACAAAAGACTGTGTTTTGTTTTCATTTCATTTCAAAGTTCTTCATACACCGAAGTCCAATACAGACACAGTTAAAAGAAAACTAGGGATTTAAATTTTTAAATTAACCTCTTTTGTTTATCATACGTACACTCCACAATAATCCAAAGAATTATCAATACCTACTCTTAAATTGTATTTTAATAACAAATTATTTTGTTTCAGTGCCTCATAACATGTGCCGTCCTGATTTTGGCCGCGGGCGCTGGTCACCCTATCGGCTTCTCTGCAGTCGCGTTACCACAGCTCAGAATTGAGAACAGTACTATGAGAATAGATGATGAAATGGGATCATGGATCGGTAAGCACCTTTATCAGCATTTTTTTCTATATTATTTTCTTATTGTATCCTAATTTAGCCACTGGAGCCATTGAGTTTTTCTCCAATATTTAGGTAGGTAGAAGAGGATATTCTTTTCTTTAACATTTTTTTTATTGTTCATTAATGACATTTAAAAATAAACTACATACAAGGAAAATTATTCAATAAATTGCGGTCTACCACCGCGGCCCCGCATAGGCCACCACTAGAAGAAACAAATAAAATTCACTGCTCAATGCAAAAAAAAAATATAGGTACTCTAGGTCCATAAATAGGTCATAGAGTTAATTAAAGTTTACGATGTCTCCCGCAAAACATTCAGTTTAGAATTTTATTATAAGTATACTCACACAAACATTTGAAACCAAATTCTTAAGTTTGATTCTATTTTTAAATTTTTGAATCGCTTACTATACCAATCTTGCGCAACATTGTGCAATAGTTACCATACTATTACATACACATGTGTAATAATGAGTATTATTATTGGGGCGTATATGGTGTGGTCTGTATTTGATTAATCAAAAAGACAAATTTAATATACGTAAGCTAGGTAAATTTTATGGCATTACTTGAGTAACTAGCTAGCTTTTGCCGGCAGCTTCGCACGTGTTGAAAACTAACCCAGGCTTCTCTTAAATCTGCTTAGTAGTTTTTGTGTGACAGTAGTAAACATACCGACGTCTATACAGAGGTACATAATATTATATCCTCAAAAACTTTAATATTATAGTCTGAAGTATACGGCCTCACAGAACACCAACGTGAAGCAACGCTTGCGTTGTGTTTCGTCGTGTGAGTGAGGTTACCGGAGGCCCAATTACCCCGCCCCTGTCCCAATCCCTGAATCCCCAACAATCCTCTACAGGCCAAAAGGCCGATAACGCACTTATAACGCCTCTAGTGTTCCAGGTGTCCATGGGCGACGCCGATTGCTTACCATCAGGTGATCTGTCGGCTCGTTTACCGGCTTATGCCATAAAAAAAATGGAAATGAGCAACAGACTTAAATAGATTTTTTGGCAGCTAATGTGTGGGTTCGCACACTATGTTTATGTACATACGTACATACGTACCTATTATTAAGAGCAATTACCATCAAACTGAGGAAGATACTCGTTAATAAGGTACTAATCTTACTGGCAGAATTCCCACAATATTAGCACAAGTAAACAATAGTTATAGTAGGACAAAAATAGATAAGTAGGTCCACAATTTTTTACTTTAATTGGATTCCTAAATTGGTCATTAGATACAAGTCGTACCAACATTATGTGCTTGTTATGTAGATTAGTTACAAATACAAGTTATCAGTCAGTAGAATAGGTACTGACTGATAAATATGAAAAAAATATACAATAAATCTTTCGTTAAAGCTTAATAACTCTTTCATAAACTACTAGCGACCCGCCCCGGCTTCGCACGGGTGCAATATGCATGTACCATACCTACATATAAACCTTCCTTAAGAACCATTCTATCTATTAAAAAAACCGCATCAAAATCCGTTGCATAGTTTTAAAGATCTAAGCATACATAGGGACAGACAGACGGGGCAGATCGGCGACTTTGTTTTATACTACTAGCTGACCCGGCAAACATTGTTTTGCCATATAAATTTTTTATTAATCATTTATTTCAGACTTAGAGTCCATAAACTGTTAGTAACAATGAGCTTAACCTATTGTTAGTAATTTAATATAATATAAATAAACAAAACTAATTCTACTTTACAGCCGCGTGCAGTCCAATCCAATGACCCAACATTGGACTATCCCATTTATCACACAATACGCTCAAGATGCTGTGTGAACTGCCACGCATTCTACTGAGGAGGGACGCGCAACGTTTGCGTATGATTGCATGGAACCCATCAACTCTGGCCTCTGCAAACATGGCTGATGCACTACAAAAACGTGGCAGTCCATTCAACATTCTGAACGCATTGTTGTATTGAACACGCAAGGCGCTGTATGCCCCCTTCGTATAGCCGACCCACAGAGCGCATGTGTAAAAGGACTGGCAAAAGGCTCTAAAGAGAGTAGTTTTGACGTCCCCTGTACACCGCGCAAATCTGCGGATCAGCATATTACATCGGACAGCCAACGCCCTGCGCTCACGTTCAATGTCCATGTTGTCATTGAGATCCTCGGTGACCCAGTGACCCAAGTACTTGAAATGAGATACTCTAGTCAATGGTGAATTAGAAATGGTAACTTGTGGCACATTCGAGTAACATTTGGTGCCCGCTTTAAAGACAAGTAGTTCACTCTTTTTAGCATTGTACCTGAGCCCATGAGCCGCCGCATAATCTTCACACTTTCTTAGGAGCCACCTGAGACCGCTGATTGACGGACACAGCAACACCATATCATCTGCGTAGCTTATATTATTGACACAAGTACCGTCAATGTGACACCCTACATGAGTGCCGCTGAGCTCATCAATCAGTCGATTGATGTACAAATTAAATAGGCGTGGTGAGGATATCCCCCCCTGTCTCACGCCACACTCTGGCCTATAGACATTTGATAGTGTTCCCGCCCATTTCACACTGTTTGTCTGATTGTTGTACCAATACATAAGCAACGAAATTACTGACCCGTCAACACTGCTCTCCTTTCTCAGCTTTTCCCAAAGTATGTCATATTGTACCAGGTCGAATGCCTTGGACAAATCAAGGAAGCACGCATTGACTGGTGTCTTCCTAGCTGTATAATATTGGACCGTCTGCTTGAGACAAAGAATCGCGGTTTCTGTTGACAGGCCGGGCCTAAAGCCGAATTGTGCATCATGAATTTTGATGTTATTCGCCATGTGTGTATCAAGCAGACAGTCCAACACCTTAGCTGTAATTGTAGCCAGCGAAATTGGCCTGTAATTAGAAGGGTCCGCAGTATCCCCAGTCCCATTTTTTACGACCGGCACAACAATCGTTTTTATAAGATCACTCGGCAGGTACGAGTGACTCATACAGAGTGTAAAAAACAGGGATAATACCCTGGGTAGGTGTACTCCAGCATGTCGCAGGTGCTCAACACTTAGGTGATCATGTCCTGGAGATTTACCTCTAACCATGTTTTTTATTACATTAGCAACCTCCCTTGTTGAAAACCTTACATTATTCTCCGAGGAGATATCCCCATTGTCGGGCACCGTTGACAGAACTGACGCCCCTGGCTTTGAAAGTGGCTCAACTTTAAAATGATCAACAAACATGTCTGCAATATCCTTAGTTTTACACAGTCCAGCCACACTCACTGGGAGACTCTGCTTGGGACTCATCTTACGGGTATTTTTCCAAAATTTTCCGAAATCCTTTGATTCATGACTTTTCGCTATTATATCTAATTTAATTTGGGATTGATTGTCACGACACCATTTCAATTTTGATTTAAAACAACTACGAGTTTCGCGCATTTTGCCATAGATATTTCCCGTAGTTGGCCTACCACATGAATAAATAATTTCGTAGAAGGGTGAAAATTGAGGATAGTATGTATTTTTGTATGTTGTATCATAAAAAAAATAGAAATTAAAAATTTTGTCTAAAAATAGAAAAAAAAATTAGTAAGCACAAAAAATTTCATCAAAATCGGTCAAGCCGTTTCGGAGGAGTATGGCAACGAAACTGTGACACGAGAATTTTATATATTAGATGTACCTAGTGATGTTTAAAAAAACCGACTTAAACTGTCAAACACCAAGTGGTCACCGGTGACCGCAACCTATTGTTCTATAATTGTGTCTATAATAACGGTACTCGACGAGTTAAACCCCCTTTTTTTAAGTCTGTTTATTAATATACCAAGTGTGATAAACACTCTTCTGAAGACCACATTAATATCGGTTCCACCAATCACGAGATAATCAGGCACAAATATACATACATACCTATGTACTTGTTTGTATTTACTTTGTTTGGCCTATGTATATACGTACATACATAGGCCAAACAAAGAACCATTCTTTTCTTTTTAAAGTCGGTTAGAAATTAAAATCCTGGGAAGATTTCCAATAAAGAAAAATGCGTAGGTAAACGTGTGTGACGTCATTATTTTATTTATTGCCTCTCGTCAGAAATTACGTAATCACTGTGAATTAACCACTGACACACAAATAGAAAGTGACAGTACAAGAAAAAACTTCCTTTCCACTAAAGGCATGTAGGTACATACACAAACCTTTTCTAAAAGCCTTTATTTATAAAAATCTTGTTGCATCTGTAGGTATGTTCTGTGGTATCTACTTATATTCGTCGTAATAGGTCAGATGCAATTTTTATTTTAAAGTCCGTCTGGTAGATTATTTTAAATCATTAGACATGTATTTTTTATTTTCTTACAGAAACGAATACTTTTGACGATATATTGATTTGAAATGTCGCGTGACGTCATTTCTATATACATTTTATACGTAGAAATGCCGTTTTAGGCCCCCACTCCTAAACTTTCATTCGTCGCACAAAATAAAAAATACGTGTCTAATATTTTTTCATTACCTTACTTACGGACTAATTGTATTATTAATTTTCATACCCTGTCATCATCCCAATTAGGTAATTCAACTGGTGAAAAATAAATTGAAAAGTTACTTTTAATATGCACACATCTGCCTACCCCTTAAAGCATTCTGTCCTATATTTCGTCTTCACAAGCAATTACGCCTACCCAAGTTACATAATGTTTTACAGAAGAAAATTCAAAACAAGGACTTAATCCGATAGTAGTCGTAAAATCGTCGTGAAAATCAAATATTGATTTCCCTAAATACACATGATAATGTAGTTAATCCAATAAAACTGGAGTATAATTAGCTTGCGTAGGATTATAAGAACAAATTCTAAAATACACAGTTAATTAGATTTCATAACGAAGAGATACAGATAGATTTTAACAACCATTTTCAAATTGGACTTTAATTGTGTCTATAATGACGGTACTCAACGAGTTAATCTACATCCCATCGCCTTTTCGGAT